CCATTGTTTGGGTTGGCTTAGTTTTCTAAAATTGTTGGACCACGTTCCACTATTTGAAGGATTTGATCATTTTAAGTTGTACAAAACGACAACAAAATCTCCAAATTTTTAGCGCACATAGACTTTATTACCCTAATTTATTTGGGTTGTTCTCGTCCAATTTATGGAAATCTACTAAGTCCCAATTATATTTTTTGCTTGCTATTTCAATGATATAGTTTGTTTTCAATGAGCAAAATAACCAAATAAAATATCAAAACTCTACAAAAAAAATCTACAAACTTCCCGATCCCATCTAATGGATATTTTCGAACAATTTTAAGAATAATTTCTAAATTCCTCCTGATCTATCGAAATCCACATTCAAATCTCCAACCTTGGCCAGTTTAGGATAAAACTGACCTATACTAGTTTCAAAGCACAATTGATCAACCAAATATTTTCCAACTCTTATCGAATCTCTAGAATTAAAGGATACACCCTTTCCTACAAATCAAGTACAATTTTGCTTGATTTGGAGTTATGGAGAGAAAGAACCATTAGGAAGAAGATTTATAATCTATTATGGGTAGATTGTAGGAATTGTGGCTTACTATATAAACTCCTTAAGTCATCTTCACTTTTACATTAACTCCAAATTAATCTTAATTTTTCTAATTATCTTAAAAGAATCGCCCCATCCACCAATGGATCACATCAGTGATCTAAGCCCCACCAGCCCACTCTCATCATGTAATTGTTTAAAAATTTTCTTTATTGAATAAACTATCAAATAAAAAAAATTAAAGCCTCGAGATAGTAATAATAAGTTTTCTTGAAGAAGCAACAAATCTTAGTTGGAGATGCTTAATTCTTTATGTTTTCAAAACATAGATCCTACTACAAAAAGTTTAAATTTGTGCGTGAGGGACTTATGCCTTCAAAGTCCTTTACTTTGACTTTTTTGGAGCCCTTGGCTCTACTACCAATATAATGTAGAGTCAGCAGGTTCCTTATGATGAAGATAATAAATTAATTGGTGTTGAAACGAGTATTCCATGCGAGGGATGTGGGGAAATATTTGGGATTGTTTTAAAGAGTTTGGATGTATTTGTGGGTAGAGAGAAGCTAGGCTCGAGATATGTAGAGGATGTGAAAATTGTATCTGAAAAATAAAAGAATAAGGGTAAGGGAAAATAACCAAGGACTCCCGAAAGCTCAAGGATCAGTCATCAAGCAGGATTTATTGGATAGTAGAGTTGCCATTAAGTTTATCCACACAAAATTTGCTTAAGCGAAAAACAATTTTTGTTCCACGAGTCAAAAAGTATAAATGTCCTATTTATAAGTTTCTTTTCAAACCTAGACAATTTTGAAAAGTCTGAGGTTCTAATAAAAACATTGTTATATTGATTGATGAGTTATCTTAATATAAAATGAAAGAAAGTAAGAGACAACAACAATAACAACTACATCAAGCCTTTATCCAACAAGTGGGATCAACTACATGAATTTTTTTTTTCATTGTGTCCTATTAAGACTCAAATTCTTACTTGAGACTAATAAAAAAGTTATTTCTAATACTTTCTAACCAAGTCTTTTTAGGTCTACCTCTACTTTTTTGGCATAGACCGGATCTAATACATCTACTCGTAATTGGGTCATCGGAAGGTCGATGTTTTATGTGACCAAACTATTTAAGATGACTCTCTCTAATCTTATGTGCTAGGAGCCACTTTAACCTTTTCACGTATATACTCGTTTTGCATTCTATCTTTAAGGCTTCGTTTAGGACGACTTTCTTTCGATTTCTTAAAGCGGTTTTTTAGTATAAAAAATTAATTTTTGTACTAAAAAGCTGCTGTAAGAAGCAGTAGGAAAGTCGTTCCAAACGAAGCCTAAGTTTAAACCACACATCCACCTTAGCATCCTCATCTTTGCAACACTAAACGTTATTTTATACTTCTTTTTTACTGGTCCACAAAAGAAAATAAGAGAAAGAAAATAAAGTGCAAAGCTTTTAAATATATTTAAATTCGGATTGATTAAATAAGATAAGTGGTCTTAAAATCAAGTTTTATGAAGATTTTTATCTCATTGATTGGTATGAATCATATACCCATGAAGGGATCTTGATTTAAACTTCTTAATATTTTCCTTTGATTTTAAAGTGATTATAAGTCTCAGCTGTGGGCTTGCATGGAGAGTTGTAAATGATAAAAGACACAAATCTTAATGAAGAGCTTTGATTGGTGACCCTATCATTGACTTTTATCTTGGTGCTGCAACAAATGATGGAAAGTTACCCTCGTATGGTTGGGGTTCTTATTTGTTGTTCTCTTTTGAGGAATGACCTTTGGATTGAGTTTGGACTGGATAAAAATTTTCTCATGCATGCCCTCTATAACTAAAAGATCGGTCATCATCCATTTGGTTTTTTTTGAAATGAAGTGTTGCCATTCACCTCATTCCTCTTACAACACTTTCAATGCTTAACTTTTGCATCTTGGATTGGATAGCTAAGATGACAATGTTGTCCTCACTTTTGGGATAAACTAGAATGCTATTAAAAAGAACGAGCTCACCATTTTGGTAGTTTTTGTCTACCCAATCTTTAATAATTAAAGAATCCTTAGTTGATATAATGACCAACAAAGAAAAATGAATTTAAATTGGGACAATTTATTGTGTAACACTTAGGATTTGCGGATTTAGACAACTAAAAGCGACTTTTATTTATAATACTATCATCTAAAACTTTAAGAGAGCAACAAAATTATGAACTTTCATTGTCAATGATTTGTTAAATTTTTAATGCTTTTGGTTGAAGTATTACAAAGCATTTGATGCTATCAAATATTTCTGTATTTTTATTTTTATTCGAACAATAGTATGTTTTATGTTCTTTTCTTTTTTTAGCTATCTAATGATGGGAAAGCATCCAATGAACATGGTAGGTTGTGCATGGGGCTTGGTAGACTTTTGGTTTGCTGGCTCGATTGGTCCTTGGCTGCTGTTAGTTCACGGGTTGGCTGTTTTGGGGCCTATGGTGATGTATGGAGAAGGTTGGAGTTGAGCTCATTCTCTTAGTTGCTTGAGCTGATGTCTAGTAGCTCATTAATGTTCTAAAGGTAAGCTCATAAAGTTGGATTCAATTTTGGAGTGGACTTGTCCCTTCTCCTTCCCCTTTCTTCTTGTCTCTTGGGAAACCATGGCTTGTTTTTGTGCTGGCTGAATTCCGTGCCTTGGATTCCACGGTTGGCTGCTGTTTCCGAGCATTGTCTCCTTGGTTCCCACTGTGGCTGTTGGTTTTCCAAGCTGGGGGTTTTCCCGTGGCTTTTGATGCCTTGGTTCCGTGCGGTTCCTTTGGTTCCCGTGGTTGCTCCTTCGGTTCCTGAGCTGGGCTATTTTCAGTAAAAAGCAAATGGGGAAATTCCATGATTTGATGCTTAGGATCTTGTGGAAATTAATTAAAGTGGTTGTTGGTATTCTTCTATCTTGCCTATAAATATGAGATGTTTTTGTAAAGAAGAGTAGTTGATTATTGTGAGCAAATTTGCTATTGACCTGCGGGTTATTGGAAAAGCTTGCGAGCTTGTTCCATTCTTCTTCTCATCCCCTCTGGAAATCTTGCGAGCTCTTTCCACCCTTCGTCTTGGCTTCTAACCTCTTTCGTCTCTCCGCAAGTTCCACTCCATCTGTATCCTTCTTCTTGAGCTTTCGTGGTGATTGTTGGCTGACTTGGAAGCATCTGTTGGAAGAATTAGACGTTCTTGCAGTGGTTGACCATCGGTTTGCTAGCCTTATGCACTTATCTTATTTAACCTATAATTCGATGCATGTGAGGGACCCGCTCTGACGGTTGTCTGAAGATAGCGTTGTTTTTATTTTCTTTGTTTCTTAAAAGTCTCTTCGTGTTTTCTTGTTGGATTTTGAGTATTTTAGTTGATTACTTCTATTTTAATAGAGTCTGGTTTGAGTTCTATCCATTGTTCTCTTTGTTTCAGTTTTCTTACTCTTGTGCTTACATCAGCATTGTTAATGTTTCAGTGTTAATTTTGTAAATAAAGAAGATTATGATTTTACACAAATAAAATTTCCGATAAATTGACCAAAGATTTACTATGTTGACACAAATAAAGCACAATACTGACCATTGGAACACAAATGAGACTCTTTGCTAATACTGGAAACATGCATATCAAACTAGATCAGCCACTATCATTACGAGGACACCCCATTTGGCGCTTTGTCTGCATTGAAACGGAATCTTGGGGCTATTTTGAGAATTTTCCCAAAGAGCACATCCTGTTTGGCGCTTTGTCTGCATTGAAACGTAATCTTGCAGAAAACTTAACCATTCTGCTGAACATCACTGATTCATTATCTAAACTTTGAGAACAATCTTAATTTAATGAACCTTTTGTTTTTCTGTATGTAATTTATCTGTTGTCACATGCGTATGAATTGTATAACAGACAAAAGATTATGGCTACACACAACCTCCCTAAAAAAAAGTTTAATTGTGAATATTGTTATTAAATTTTCAAAATTCGATTTGATGAATTGCATTTGCTGTCCTTGTGTGTGTACTCTATCTCTCACTTTCTTTTTTGGGTGTGCGGAGGGACAAATGCAAGCACTTCAGCTTATGTTATTACTCCACAAGTCTTCAGAATTGTCAGTTATAGAGGCTGTTGTCACTCTCCGTCTCTAGGTTATTGTTTCTTATATCTTGCTGAATGAGGGCACTTTAAAGCTAGCTATTGTTGTATTTGCAGAATTGGATTGGTTGGGTGATAGCACTCTTTTATCTGCATTATGGCACATTGGGCAAAGTTTTGGTTTGTTTTCTAGGCTTGTTAAAAAGCAAAATATTCCTACTTCTGAGATGAAGCTTGTTGCTCTTATGAAGTTTTTTTTTTTTTGTATGCTTCCTTATTTCTTATTAAGCTCATTCTTTACTTACTAACAAACAGTTATCATTTTTATAGAAGATTTACTATTTTTACTTTCTACAGCCAATGCACTTGTGTTGCTTGGGTGCCTGATGGTGATGGTGTTTTTGTTGCGGGGCATTCTGATGGAAGCATTTATGTGTATGAAAAAGTGTGCACCGAAGTAGTTCATGACTCATAGGGCATTACTTTTTTATCATTGAAACTTATAGATTTCCATATGTTAAAATTTCTTTTATTATTTTTCAGGGTAAGGATGTGACCGCTGATTGTTCATTTCCTTCTGTCAAGGATCAAACTCAATTTAGTGTTGCACACTCACGTTCAAGTAAGGTACTAGAATTATATTTTTGAACTTGGATCTGTAAGCTAATTTTTGACCTACTTATGATTATGCATAAATCTTGAAAAGTTTATCATGTATATTATATTGTACTAGGAAGAAATTTCATTATCAGCTAATTAAATTGTTGATAAATGACCAAGTGCTCATTTTAAAAACAAATGGTTATTTTTTTCTTTAGAGGAGAAAGAGTTTAGCGGTGCTGATACTGTTTCTTGATTAATGATGTATGTGGTAAGGGGTCAATTGAGATTTTTTTTTAAATTTTAATTTATTTTGTTTATATTTTAGCATGAAACCAGAATATCTTTGTTTTTATTAGCATGCACTTGCTGTTTAAAAAAATAACAAAAAATATGTTTGAAGTGTGTACTCAAGTCAATAGCTCCTCATTTTGGTTCTGACATGGGCACCTTGTTGAAGAGCTCCACAGGAGGATGTTGCTTTCCATGGTCAAGATGCACATAGGAGTTTTGTCAAGAACCATGTGTTCAATAAGGAATATATGTTGGTGTGATGTGTGTCATTGCATCGAAATGGTGATCATTTAGCTTTAGCTTGTGGTATTGCTGAAGGCTATATTGTGGGATCTGAATTTGTTCATAGATGATACTCGACCTTACTAAGAGATAATCTTTAAGTGAGAGCTAGGAAGTCAAATGGGGTTGAGTATGGAGAGTAAGAGTCCTGAATTTATTGTACGTAAGAAATACTAAATCTAGAAAACTCAAAAAGTGCCAAAAGATGTAAAAGATTCGAAAAGATAAAAAAGATGTCTCTTCACCATTTATTTATAAGTCTCGGAGAGCTATAGGAAAAACTACACCTATTAAGGCAAAAAATAGTAAAAATTACAATGTATAATATGAATTATTATGGTCTGTTATAACATGTGGCCTAGTGATTAAACTCCACTTAGATCTATGCTTATAGCGTGGCCTTCGGTTTCTTGGTGAGTCATTTATGCGAGTCTTAATGAGCAAGTTTCTTGGGCAAGTCCTGGCAGTCTTAACGTATATAGTGAGTTTTTGAAGGCAAATCCTCTGGACATTGTGGCGAATCCATTGATATATGATTCAAAATCATGGAAGCTAATGGGCGAGTCCTACTTGATAGAAAAAATCGCAAGCTGAAGACTGCCTTAACCTAGGAATTGTAACCATGGCTTTCGACGTGTGTGTTTTTTGTAGTTGGACTGGAATGCTAGCAGTAGCTGAGCTGCCATGTCGTGGATGAACAATTCCTATTAAGATAAGTGACATCTAAGGCTCATGTGAGTCTAGGTGAGTCCTTTTGGGAGGCTTACTGAAGATGATGACTCCTCAATCCAGTTTGTTGTGATGAGTCTTCTCGTTATGACATCACTGGGAGAATGGCTATGGATTTGCGGATTAGCACCAACCAGCTTGTTGGGCAGTTACTTTTCCTCATGGTGAGTGCTCTTTCTAGAAGTGTGACTGTTTGGGTCGATTCTATACTAGTACACATTTAGTTTTTGACTTGATCTTTAAAAGGCGAGTTATGAAAATGATAAGTGAAAACAATCATTTATTGCCATCACTAAATAGTAAAATTGAAAGTAGTAGTTACTGCCCTATTGTTACTAAAGTCTTGAGTATCGTACATATTTCTCATTATACCTTTGATTTTGCCTCGTGCATTATCATAAGCTATAAGCTGAAGCTTGAGGGGTGTGATGATGCCACATTATCTTCTCCAACCTCCTACACTTGTAACTGACTCTCTTAAAATGGCGTATTTGGACCCTGCCAAGTTAGCTGAGTTGAGTCTCAAGAGATTAAAAAGTCTATTTTTCATAGGTGTTGGCTAGAGGAGGGTGAGAATAAATCTAATTTGTTGGATAGTTGAAAAGAGGTAGTGGCTATATAGGCATGCGTGCCTATTGGCCCAGGTCGAGTGGACCAATAGCACTCATGCCTGAGCAGGCGGAGAGGGTAGAGGTGAGAAGTGTGGCGTTGAAAGTAATACTTCTTTCCAATAGCAACATACTGATAGGGCTCTAGGAGGAGATGGGGGCTACTTCTTTCCTTGGGGATATCTAGAGGATGTGATCACTTTTATTAATTCTCTTTTCGGATAAACTAAAACACTATTTGTTAAAGTGGAATACTTTTTATTTAGTTTGTCCCAAGCCAGTATGTAAAAATATAATAATCTTGAATAAGTTAGTTGATTATCCGATGATATGGCAATAATTAGAGTTGTTAGTTTAATATGCCTCTTTTGATCTTTTAGATTACGATAGTTCAAGACCAGCTTTAAGTACTTACTAGAATATTCATGTTTTCTTTTTTAGAAAAAATATTTATTATTTATTTATTTTTTGAGAGATGGAAATGATTGATTACCTATAATGCACTGACATACCTCTTCAAATAATTATGTAGTGTCTGACACATATCGGACACAATGTGTTCGAATGCCTCTGGCACGTCCCAAATATGTCAAAAACATGTCTATTTAAAAAATATTAAAATTAAATTTGGCACACGTGTCTTAAATATTTTATGATTTTTTAATATTTCAAAATTTTATTTATTGAAAAAATAAAAACAAAATTTCTCATTTCCTCTTCACTACCCCAAATCAATCGCCTGCACTTAATAGCCAATTTCGTGAATATTTCCATTTTAATTTCTCTCTAGCAAGTTACGATTAGGGTTTCACCAACGTTTGATGCCATCTTAACATCAACATCAAATGCCTTCATAATATCAACATTTCAAAACTATCTCAACATCGAAGTCTGATATTATCTTATTTGATGCTCGACGCCAGCAATTTTTACATATACAATCATGTTCTCGTGTCATTTGAACATCTCATCTTTGCCAATGTTGTCTTAATATTGACGATTAACATTTTCTTGTCATCTACTCTCGATGCCTATTGCACAATATCGATGTTGGGACCTTGACAATATTATTCTCTTATCTCGATGCATGTCACACAACATCAAATGCCGAACTTTTGACATCTTAGTATTAATCATTTCATGCACAAATTCTAGTTAAATGACTTATTATTTCTTAATTATTCTTAATAATCTTCTTATTTAATTTGTATACATTATTTTTAAGGTATAAAAATTATAATATCGTGTTTTATCTGTATTCATATCCTATATTTTTAATAACTGACTTATCCCGTGTTTGTATCATGTCATTTCTGTATCGTAGTGTCGGTGTACGTGCATCACAGCCGACCACTCACAATTTGTTTTGACCACTCACAATTTGTTTTGAATGCTCCCCTTTGCTAGGAAAAGATTGAGTCTTATCATTTCCTCCCAATACTAATTTTGGCTAAGGATTTGAGTTGACTGGCTATTTTCCTTTATCATCTTTATAAATATGATATTTTCCATTATCAATATTGTAGACTAACTGCTTCATTGGCAAGCTATGAAAGAAGAAGTTTAGTGCACTTCACTTTTTCCATATTAAGAGTTTTTATCTTTTAAATCTTTTTTGATGTCCTTTATATTTGGACAAGTTTAATTTCTCAAACTTCACCACCCTGTTTAATAGATTTCGTAATGTAGTAATGGAGGCAATCTATAAAAATAGTAGCATCTTATTGTCGATATTTTCCATTAACAATTAAGCAATATGCTCCGCCTATAGCTATTCACATTTATGCTTATATAACAACAACAAGTTAAGTATTTTGTAACCAACTTGTACAATATTTCCTTTTCTAAGATGAGATCAATAATACTCTTCTCAATTGCATTGCTGAATCTCTTCACAAACACAATTTCTAGTTTTGCTATAGTCTTTGTCAAATTATTGGGGAGTTCAACATGTCATTCAAAAGTAGTTGATGTCACATTACTAACGAATTAGTGGAAGAATTTTCTTTGTCATTTGCTTTTATTTAGTGCTGCATTTGCTTTTGTGCTCAGCCTAGAGCAGTAGCAAAGTGTGTAGTAACTCCAATATTTTAGGTGTTGAAAATAGCATTTGTTAGGTGGATATTAGCACCTTGCCCCAACTTTATAACAAACAATGTGTTCCGAATATCCATTTTGCATAAATAAAAAGTGGGGATTAGTAATCAATATTTGACATCATCCTACTCTTTCAAAATACAGAGATATAATAAGATCTCATTATTATAATTGAGTATGTTTTGTGTTCTTAGCTCTCTCGATTATGAGAGGGAACTTTTGTTTAAGGCTAGTCATTAGAAGCTAAATGCTTGACATATAGTGATTGGAAAATTGATTTAGAATTTAGAAAATTATCATTATAAAGTTAAATTGGATAATAAGAGAATGATAATGAACTAGATCAAGATCACATATTTTTGTTATCCCAAGTTGTAAAAACCCTTGATTTTGTCAAAGGAGATGGTCGACCAAACTTAATCGAAGGATCCTTATTGACAGCCATGTGTTATATCGTTAAAGAAAACCTTATAAACCTAATATGAATGTTTATTTAAGGGGAGAAATTTAAGTCGATTTTTTCTAACAGAGGACTTTGTGACTTATCAAGTGCATCCTATAATTTGCCACTTAAGATATTTAGAGCTAGTAAGGAATATATGCGTCATGGTTGTGACTGTAATATAATGAGGTCATTCTATGACAAAGCCACTAGGTCAGAGGCCCCTATCATTACTATTATTTAATGGTATCATTTGGAGGCAAACCTGCCAGATTAGAGGACACATGTACCATCCTTATTGTTGTAGGATCTTTTTGATGGTCTACACATTGATATACTTTTGACATGATATTAATTCTTTATGAGCATATGTTAATCTTAAATTTATCATCATCATCAAATTGTTGTGAATGTTCAATGGATTATTATTTTTAGCTTTAAGGAAATAAAATTTACTAAAATATTTTTGTACTATGTAGAATTTTGAGATTTCTGTATTTTTTTTATTTGTATTTTAGCCTGAAATGATTTGTCATAGGATTTAGGGGTACTTTGAGAAATAGAATCTCTTCTAG